CTTCATGCAAGCAGAGGCGACATTGCATTACACATGTTAGCGAGTATATCGAATCTACTCATTTCAATAGTTTCAAGTGAAAGAGACAAATGAAACAATATACTTTTAAAATAGTATAAGAATGAATACACGAATTTCGGGAATACAACAGGCCCAATTCGTATCCAATAACTATGACCATAGAAGCGTTCAGCTCAAATTTGACATTGTTACACCGCAATCACATTTTGCGCTGCGTCCTGCCCCTAAGAGACCAAATAGATTTAAACAATCTATCAAACAACAAGGGCATGGACAAAACAAATATAACAATTACAAATAAGAAGTCTCGTTTTGAAATATAACTTGTAGAGTTTCATTTCTCCTCATTCCAAATATTGTAAAGGAAACGCTACGAAAGATTTTTATTGTTACTTCGTCTGAGATATATCGCATAATAAAAGTAATTTCGACGAGGCATATTTTTGTCCATCTCAGTTTGCATTCTTGCATGCACCTCTTCCCGCGCAAAAGTTTTTAGTTATTTATTTAGAATTTTCTTCCCTGGAGGTAAAAGACAGATAGGCCTATAAAGTATAGATCACTGACTGGTATAGTTAATGAAAATATATATATATAGTCTACAAACTTCATTGAAATCTCGTTGTGTATCATCACAAATGTGGTGCGCTTGGGCGTAGCGTAGCCTACTCCTGCATGATGTTTTCTGCTTATAGCTTCGAAATATTCACTAATGAAATGTAGGTGAGTATTGCGCTAGAGTTCAAAATTGGAAGTGAGTATACATAATTGATAATGAAATGTGGGCGTGTTTGAATTTTACTGAAATATTGAATTTTCAGCAGGAATTTTACATTGCAGAGCTTTGCGCAAAATTATTATCACACGTTCTGACGACCTCAATATGAGTTATATATATCGCATGTAGGTTTCTATGAACCGATGAGTGAATGCTTTCTTCCACTTTTGACTGCAGTTTGAAGTCCGAGAAATGAATGACTTAAACCAGAGGCTTCCCAACGTTGTCCAGGTGGACCGCCATGCCCCATGGGGCCACATCACGATTAGAGGGGGACCACAGATGCTAATTATATTAAATGAGTATAGATTTCATTAAAGATGTTGCTCTATTGATATGTTGTTGGATGAACTAATTACTAAATCACCAAATGAGCTCAATCATGTTAGATTAGTGCTTGGATTATTAAGGAGCATACATTTTAACGATAATGCAGAAATGAGTCTCCATATTAGAGACTTTTTTACCAATAAATTTTAATATAGTACTAAAAACTTAAATATATTGAAAAAAAACTTTTTGTTTTGAGTACCAGTACTAGAAATATGATGCACGGTACAAGCACGATGACAAAACTGCCCCAATCTATGCGAGTCGTCTTGGGGGTTCATACGACTTTGAAGGAAAATTTAGGTGTCCACAGCGAAAAAAGGCAGGGAAGCCCTGTCTTAAGCAATCAACGTTTTTAGGACGTTTCGGTTTTCGTAATTCTAAAGTTGCAATTTTTAAATTGACACTACCAATTCTTACAACTTTTAAAACAAAAAGCGCTGTTCCTCCAACGTATTCTCTGTCGCCGACGCCACTATGTCACAACAATATTTATTTCGACACAATGAAATGCTATCTAAGGTTACGCCACAATGTTCGTGGTAGTTCCAAGCTTATCCCAAACTTTTTTCACAATTACCAGCAGATTATTGTGAAATATGTCCCGTAAGGCAGCGGTTTCCAAACTTTTTGTTTGTGCCGCGTCAAATTACCTGGGAAAAACTCACGGCGCACTTACAAGAAACATAAATTGCTGGTTGGTAAATTGGTAAGTTTATGTATTGAAGGGTATGCGGCTTCTGCGCTGAACACATCTTTTTGAAACGCGGTGTTATACTTGGAGTCCTTGTCCTAATATGGAATATATTCGAGAACCAACATTATTTTCAGATTCAAAAAAAGAACTAATTTAAATTTTTTTACGGAAATTTTTTAGAAAAATATCTGAAATATTTTGGTTGAACATTGATTTCAAAAATATTAAATCTCCAAATTTGAAGTCTCCCGTTTTTAGATACTTAAGGGCAAGCTTTGTTGAATTTAACAGAATGTCCCATGGTGTCAGGGTCTGTCCGAATGTGCCCCACAAATGGGGTACAGTGGGACACTTGACAAACGATTTTCAAAGCATTTTGGTGATAAGGTGTGTGTCGCAAGCAAATTTCTTAGTCTCGGAATAAAAAGTAAATTTACCCCTTTCTGCATGAGTCCCGCAAAGTGAAATGAATGTGAAGAATAAACGGCTCAAAATATGCAAAAGAAAAAAGTGTCCCAACCTTCCCCACTAGCGGATATTCCAAACAGATGGTTGCCCGAAATTCAATAAATTCAGAAGACTGAAAGTTCTGATATCAAATCGATAAATTGCTCAGTTTCGCTAGTTGCTAAGTACTCTGAAAATATAGGACACATGTTAAATGGGTTGCGTATCGAATCATGCTGTTTCATACTTTTAAATAATAATAATGTTCAAAATGACAAACAAGGCCGTCAAGATGCTGATCAAAACCTTTTTTGTTTTCAACTTTCAGATTTTGTGAAAAATATGTACTTTTAATATTAGAAAACAATCGCTCTTTTCGTTATTTTTCAATAAATCCGCTTTCCATATTTCTAGCTCTTTTGAAAGCCACTAATTCTATCAAAAAACTTATAGTGGGAGTATTCCTCTTTGGAGACGGGTGTTGAGACGGTTCCATTACATTTGAACCCACGACAATTTTGCACCTGCATACTGTTGAACCTATGGAAATTTTTTTTTCACGGATATTTGAGCCCATATTAACCCTAATCCATGGGTTTTAGCACCCGCATATAGATTGAACCCGCGGATATACGCATGGGTTCAAATGTACGGTCACCGTTGAGGCAACTAAGTTTTTCAGATATATCGCACAGATATGCCTCATTTCTTAAAAAAAACTCGGATCTTCAAAATCTCCAGTTCTTTCGTGGTTTCCTTGTCGCAAGAACATAGCATCACATTTCAAAATTCATGAACACGAAAGAGCACCTCGCCCTTTGACAACAAGCGTGAAATGCAGTCGCATAACAATAAGGGGTCATGTGTAGTTGACGACTTTTACAATATTTGAAAGTAGCATGTTTAATGGAACACTTACCAGTGCCTCACTTGTAGGCCTATCACACAATGCGTATATTGAGCATTCGGGGCCACATTTTTAACCATTGCTTGAAGCCTACTGCAGTGTGCCGCGCAGCCCCGTTTGGAAACCTCTGCCGTAAGGGGACTCCATCGGACAACTATACTCGCCTACAGTTTAATATATTTTTGTTTCTTTGTTGTAACTTGGCGTCTATAACCTCTTTAGAATTATCTTTTTCAAATACGCCCCATATCACTAATCACACTTGTGCAGCTTAGTTAGTTGAAGCTTATTACGTGTTCCTAAGTAAATGTTATATAGTAATATTGAAGATCTGAAAAATATTAGTAATAATGAATATATATACTATAATAGTGAGTACAAAGCAAAACTCTTCCCCAGAGAGAAATTCGTCCGTGATTGGGAAACGTGGACGCAGGGATTCGGCAGGTTTGCAAAGGCTAAAAACCGCCAGTCTAGAAAATATATACGCAATGTAACTACACCAAAAACACAGACTTCAGTAATACAATGTTATATTTGTACTCTTCCGCTGAGCTATAGTGGCACAACTCCACTATTTACCATATCATTCATTCCGAGAATATTAATGAGATCACAAAATCTAAAACCCGTTTAAGTGAATTTTTTGTTGTAGCTGAATTCGAGGGACAGCATGACAACAGGCAAGAAAAGCACGGTTATTCCGGCCTCCTTGGAGGCCACGGATCGGTTATCTGGGAGCACGAACAAAATATATATAATATCTATGTATTTTTATAGAAGAGAAGAAGCAAAAATGTTGGAGTCTTTGGTAGTTTGAAAAGCATTGGCATGGGACATAAACCTAAATTACATTTTTTCCCAGGGATATACTATGAAATGTAGCAATTTTCTCATTCGTGTTCTCGTGATAGCATTATCTTTCACTGCATCGTCGTGATCATCCCGCTGCATAACAATCCTTGCTAACAAATAATTGACTGTTCTCCACCGGGTGTATATCTGTGCGCAATCCACTTGAACCACTGCCGACTGCATCAGCAGGCTTGTATTGTTAATTGCAACAATAGCGGGTATTTTGAAATAGTACTCTTTATATTACCCGTATGTTTCAACAGTGTTTCCCTATCTGTGGGTCGCCTGAAAATATTTTCGGTACGATTTTTTTTCAAGTAAATTTGGTGATTCAAGATGGCGCACAACCTGAACATAGGTGTACCAGGTTCGGGTTCAGGTTGTGGATTTGACGAAAAATAACCATACAAATATCAAGCCGTAAAAAAATTGCTCAAGGCTGCAAACTCCACACCCATGTAGAAATGATGGGCAATGACCCCAAGATGAATAATCGCAAATAAAAAAAACTTAGTCTGAAAACAAGGTTGGTCCCAAAAAAAAAACCTTATCTGTTGGACTAATAGTATGCTCGTGGGTAAGAACATGCAGAGTACGGGCCCACTTTCCCTCCACTTATTAAGTATTGTAACAATCATCCTTACCTATATATCACCTAGGTAATGTTCAGCCTCAACATCATACCGTAACTTGAACAGTTGGTGTACAAAGGCCGTGGGAAATTTGCATTTGCTGTGTTATTTCAATTTATTTTTCAACGAGACTCAAACTTTTGACTTGTTATAACAAATTATTCGCATCAGAGCTACGTAATGCGTATTCCTAAGTAGTCATGCACAATGTCTTCATATTTTGTGAATAAAGACAACATGCAGACAATTCGCATCGCATACCCTGGAACACCTTCTTACCTAACTGGCAGTTGGACCAATCACCTCCACCCAACACTTGAGCAGTTCAAGCTATAACCTTCATAAACCTTTATTAAAATATGGATAAACAAGCATCGGCCGAACCAATTTTGAGATGAAATGAATTAGAAATAGAGAGGCTTCAATCAGGATATGCTTCGAAATAAAATCTGCTTTTGGTCAATACCAGTGAATCACAACTAAGCTCAATTACGAAAGAACTTTCACCCAATTATTAGTTCAGCGTGATGATCACCCAGAATATGCCATATCAGCTGATGCAAAGCTCCACTTTTCGACAGGTATCAAAGCTCATCTTTAGTTTGTTCATCTTTACAGTACTCTGAAATAAAAAAATTCATGTTGTACATGGCGGGTATGCTTGAATTGTGTGTTGTTTGGGGTAATTGGGAGTAAAAATTCATTTTACTACGGAATTAAGCATGGTTGCACAACTCAAATTGGGTTTGTGGGAGAAACTAATTACTTTATTCTCAGTTCCATATCGCACCAAGGTTATCAGAAAAGGAAATCTCCTCAGTGCACAATGACCGAAACAAAAGTATTCAGTCCCAATGGGCTATTCCAAATGACACTACGGGACAATTCCAAAAATTTTGCATGTTGTTAGATTCAATATATTTTCATATTTTCAGCTACATGTTTTGTTTTATTGTCCAATCAGTTGCTTTATTGAATATGTAAAAAATTGCACAAAAGTTACACCCAACCTTACTTAGTAGATAAAAAAAATATAGTAAAATATAGCGTGACACTACAGGACGGCAAATCCACCATGCACTAACAGTACGTTGTGTTGTGCTGTAAATTTCTGCGATGGTACAGTGGGAGCCCATAATATTTTCTGGTGCAGTAGCTGAACTACCCCTCTATGTGTTGCTCAAGTTACTTAATGTAACACTGTAAATCCATGCCAATAATGTGCATATTGTATGTGACACTACAGGACGTGACATTTTTCCCCTTTGGAATAGCGGCATCTATTATCTCTTAAAATTCTGGTGATAAATCGTTAAATGGGTGAAGAAATGTTCTACAGCACTGCAAACATTTAAACTTTATTAACTTAAATTCAGTGCATCAATTCCATATGAAATAACTGTACCACACAATCAAACACTTTGTGTCCGGAATCATCACAAAATATGTCAATTATACCAAAATTTCTACATTTCAGGCCATTTTTTAAAAACCATCAAAAACCTGGGTGAAATTTTAAATTGTTCGATGAAATGAATGCAGTCCAATAAAATTCCAATGTCTTTTGATATCAAAAATAAACAAAAATTACTTTCACTACACTTTTTAAAATTGATGGAATTCAACTTTTGCTTGGAATGGCCCCAATATGGAATATTCGGTGTCCCATACATCCACATTACCGTGAGATATATAAGGAGCTTAGAAATGTTTCTTTCAGGAACCCATGAATAATGGAGTACAGATTCTATTGGCGTTCATATGTACATTATTCTCCAAAGCTCTAACAATACTTTCTCAAACATTTTTTGTTACCTATGGGTGAGAAATCCGTTTTATCACACTGCAATAAAAAAATGCCAACGGTGATGGGGCAAGAACAACATTATGAAACCTGCACAACAGTCTAGCAATATCTTATTGCAGTTTTCCCAAAACAATTGTATAAATTGCCTTCCCTTGCTCTATTCCAGTGGTTCCCAAACTTTTTTGCGTCGCAACCAGTGGTGGGATTCAGCTAGTTCGCACCGGTTCTACAGAACCGTCTCACAGAATTTTATTAGATCAGCGAAGCAGTTAGCATTACTGAAAAAAAAACATGACTTTTTGTGACAGAACCGGCTGAACAATATGACTTTTGTGATGGAACCGCCTGACAAAAAATTTGAATCCCACCACTGGTCGCAACTCCCTTTGGATATTTTCTCACATGCCGCGACCCCTTCCATGATATTTTGGAAAGCTTCAATGAGTTTTTTGCAAAATAGATATCTTGAATCAATTCAAATACCATCAATTATTTTATTATCCGGTTATCCTAAAAATTAAATTTTTAATTTTTCAGATTAACAACTAAATTGTTATTAGATGAGTAACACGAAGGCCTTACAGTTGCCACTTAAAACAGACACTTAAAACAAAAGAAATTTTGAAGCTGCCACATCTACAAACATTTCCTGCCGCAATCACAAATTCAATGGGGGGAATTCAATAAAAAATGGTTGGTAACCACAGACTTCTAGTCAAATTAAAGCTGTCAACAGAAAACATGGTTTGGTAATTCCAACATTGTTTGTTCTGCAGACCCAGTATGAATACCTCACCATCAAAAACATAACCTCAGCAGTAAAGTATATCTAACAGTAAAATGGAAGAATGTCAAGAACTTTATGGCAGTATCACAAGTGTTTTCATACTCACTTCCACACTATGCAACAATTGTTCGCAGTAGCATGTCCAGTGAAAGTAGGATGCCCGTTTTCAACACCAAGGCTGAGATAAACCAGATGCGAAGGAGATACTCAATACAACAATGCTGCTATACACTACTAATTTTGTTTGTATGCAATGAAAACTCTTAATTTGCTATAAAATTACACCTTTTATCACAACCATTCCTGTCAAGTCTATATAGTTTTAGTACTCGATTTGCTGTCAGTTGAGTGACGTGTAGTTGCTTGAACCGGATTTGAAAAAGTTTTACCTAATTATGAAGTATGTGCATTCTTTACCAATATACTTATTGAACTGGCCAAACTTTAAAAACCAACCCACTTACCTCCAAGATCTCTGCATACTTTTTCAATAATATTTTTGTCACCTTTGGCGAACAAAGCTACAAATTCATCTTCATGATCTTCTATGATACTTTCACACTGGGATACAAAGCAGGATTAATAGGTTTGTGCAGAATTCATAGGAAGCCCCAATCGAAGAAGGGCACTTTAAATTTCATTCCCATCACATATCCCATATTAGGTCTTATTTTCACCTGTTTCACTATGATAACATCATTAATAAAGCATAATTGCTATTTTCTTGGATTTTAATAAACTGAATAATATTTATGTGTTTAAATGCATAAGTAATTCCAGATCCAAAAATAATTTTTGTAGGATCTATTATGAATAGCCATCCCACTGACATAGCACTAAAAATTGGAAGCATTACATATACTGTTTACAGCAAGTACATTTCCTAGTAACAAAATAAAACTGTCATAATGCATAGCAAAAAAGTGAGAAAATTTCTAACCACCTTAAATACATGCCAACTAAATCTAAATGAATTTATTATTAATAACAACTATTCAATAAAACAATGAATAAGTTCATATTTAGTATTGTGTTATTGAAATCAAAAAGCATGCAAGATCACTGAAAATCAAGTTAATTGATAGCATGAATGATATACATGTTAATTGATTTTACATTATTCAAAGTTTAGGCATCAATAAGATATTATTTCAAGACTAAGAATGAGACAATCAGACATTGTACAGTTGTGAGTAAATTAGTTGTGCAATGGAAATTGTTTTAAAATTTAGATGATACTAAATGTGAACTCACGGCGAATTTAACTTGTTTTGAATCGGTATCAGGAGGTTTGTCTCCAGCATTTTGTGCATTCTGCATGAGCGCTTGGAAATCAACATCACTTGCCATATTACCATCACGAGTCACCATTCTTTTCAAACTGTGACACATAAAATTGGACTCAATTCAACGGTTTTCATGAAGCATAAATTTGTGGAACATATACAGTTTGAGGTTTCTGGGTTCAAAGTGAGAAACGTATATGTAGGTTCTACATCTCATTGTTGGCATACAATAAGCCAAATCAGCAATGGCAATTGAATAACTGCCTTTAAACTAAATCTGAGTGGATCTTTTTTTGAAATTTTCGTCTGAATGATTTGTTTGCAATAACATTCATCACTACTCAGAGGCTCAGAATAACTAATGAGGAAAAAGTCAAATAGCAATTCAATTTGTACACATCAGTATATAAGCTTATGCATAGAATATATTGATTGTGGCCAAATGTTTGAACAATTTGACTGGTTCAACGAAATAAATAGTAACCGAAACAAGGGTTTAAGACAGTCACTCAAGATGATTGTATATATAAAAGGGATGGCGAACCTTTTACAGTGAGTGGGTCAAAAAATACATTTTTATCACAGAATAGAAGAGAGTGGGTCACATATATTTAATCAATATTTCATCTATAAGAAACTTCTGAAACAAATCTCATTAGTTTCTGTTGGGGATGGTGTAGTTTTGGGCTTTACTTCTATCAGGAACGGCACTCGATTTTATGAAATTAGAGTACGAAAACATGCATATGAATTAACAAAAAGGTTCAGGATGATGAGGCAAATTATTTTACAGTTCCAAGCAGTTTGGAGGGAATTCCACTCTGATAGTGTTATATTTTCCGATCAGCTTCCAACCACATTAAGGCACTTTTATACTGCCCCATTGTTATTTCAGACTTCTGGGTTTTTATTTCAAATCTGAAAGATTTTTTTTTTCTCATTGCCGTTGTAGGCGAGAAGCTAATAAAATGCAAAGTAGCACCCAGTTCTCGTTTAATTCCTAAAACAGTCTGCAGATGCATTTCCGAAAGAGACGAGACGTTGCGAGAAATGAATGGATCAACTACATTGTCATGTCATAAACGATGTCAGAGCTAATGAATAGCTGAATAACAGTACACATCGGTGCAGACGGTTTTGAAAATTATATTATAAAAAAATATTATACCGGAAATGATCAGTTGGAATATGAGCGATCGCAGCCCTGACTACCCAACGGTACATTATAATAGTTTAGTTATAGTTAGACTAATTTAAGGCCAGCTTTATAAATTTTTATCACTGATATTTTAGCATTTTTTTTTTCAATTTTATTCGTGCCTTTGCGGGTCACAATAAAAAGCGGTGGGTCACAATAAAAAGCGGTGGGTCACTTTGTGACCCGCGGGTCAGTGGTTCGCCATCCCTGGTATATAGAATTCATATTTTCAATATTCATCTGATTGCTATTTATTTTCAGTATCACCTCATTCTTCCAGTTTCTTTATCTTTATTTCTCACATAATCACTTGAAAGTTCTGTGCAGACAGATTCCAAAACCTCTGTTAGGTGACCTTCAGATCTAGCATATGAAACCTGTTTTTTTTTTGTATTTTGTCATGTGAATGTTTTATATTAGCTTTGTTTTTAGAAGTGTAAAATATAGGATTATCTTTATCAGCACAGAAATGTATATGCAATTTTGTACATTTGTGTATATATGTATAGTGTTGTATTTTTGCATCAATGTGGTGTGTGTTGTTTTTGTATATACGGGTGAGAGAAAAAGAACAAAAACAGAATTAGCTAAACATGCTGATCAAGTCAAGCTGATAAACACATAAATTATTTTTGTCTACACAGTGCAACACAGAAATCCCAATAATGGAATTGATTGACAAGTGACAATGATCAGATATTACAAACACTTTGATTGATAAGACCGGGTGAGTTTAACTGAATGTTTTTGTTTTCTTTTAGCACAACTAGCCAGGAAATCGATGTATGACTGATCACTTTAATTGATAAGATCAAGGGCCCCATTCGCCAAACTTCGTAAAAAGCCGCATTTACGAGCACGTAACCTTGTCTCTCATAAACACAGTTACTACATCTCGTTAAGTGCGATTCACGAAACATTTTGTAAAAACCTTACGCCCAGTCACGCAAGTTCTCTCGAAACGGTCTGTTTTACATTTTGCAGCTTGTGACTTAAAGTTTGGGGAATATTGCAGTAATCTATGGATGAATGAAATAAATTCTGAGATACATACTGTTAAACTACTTCTGTAACAGACAACAAAATAGATGAATATGTAATCCCATATTTGATGTTGGTACAGTGTTAGTTGGCATATATTGGTGGGTCCACAGCTACTAGACTACAGTCACTCTTACCTGAATTAGGCATTTAGGGAATTTTCATACCAATTTTTGTATGCAAACACCACGGCATTTGTTGGGGTGCATGTCGCACATACTTGTCTTAGGCCAGTAAGGTATTGAACATGTATCCCGTCTTATACCGTTTAATTATTATGTAGCTACTGTTACAAATAAACACACATACATTTTAACCTGAATTCATGCTAGAAACTGGCCAAACTACTGTTAACGAGTAAAATTTTCCCCTAGTCAGTTTGCGCGTTAAAGAACTTGGGTGAATACAGATTCTCAGTAAAATGAGAGAAGAAGGCACTTTACGAGACGTCTGTTTTGGCGAGCAAAAAATTCTCTCGAATATTAACGATACTTCGAGAAGACCATTTTTGCCTTTTACGAGAAAGTGGGTGCTTTACTAACACGTTAAACGATAAAGAAGTTCGGCGAATGGCGCCCCTGGTGAGTTTGAACTAAATGTTTTTTCTTTTAGCACAAATGGCCTGAAAAATTCCAAACTCTCCTTCCCAATTATATGACAAATGAAGGAGATAATGTATGTATGACAAACTAAAAGGTGGAGGTAATAAGCTGATTAAAAGAATGAAACAGACTGTGATAAACTTAGCTAGGTTCCATACACAGGGCATATGACATCATTCGAGATAGTTGACCAAAAATATATCTTCAGGATTCCAATCAAAGGATTAAGTAAAATCAACTACAACAAATTAGTATGATGAAGAGAGCCATGCATCACACATTCTACTTCCTTACAGCATATTTCAATTTTTTGGAGATGTCGCCACTAATTGAAATGTTGTTCAACGCAATTGCCTCCCCATCCCGAGAACTTGTCCTCACATATTCTCGTTTTCCTGAGTCAGATTTGGATTCTGCATAGCCATTCATTTTTGAACATACATCTTCCAATAACTCAGTTAAGTGTATTTCAGATCGGGCATATGAAACCTTTTGTTTTTATTAATTCAAGGATCTTATTAATTGAGATAATGATCAATCGAGTTTCCGTTAACATTTATGGCTAAATTTGTCAACAACTACATAAGCACATTTCTCATAAATCAAGATTTGGTTGTATTCATACAGTTGCATTTTAAGCATATTTCAATTTAAAACAAATTTATGACATACAGATTCAAAATACACAGTCTAACATTCGATATTTCGTTGGATGAGAACAGAAGGGGCCTAAGTCACATTTTTGCAAAATTCACTTTTTTCAATATTTTGGGGTTTTGAGCCATGCTCTACTACAAGGTGGCAGTCTTGAAATTCTGAATTTCTCAATACTAAAAATTTTAGCTGGACTTAGAACTGTAGAAGTTAAGAACAGAATGGGCCTAAGTCCAGCTAAAACTTTTAATATTATGAAATTCAGAATTTTAAGACCACCACCTTGTAGAGCATGGCTCAAAACCCCAAAATACAGAAAAAAGATAGTCCCAAGTTCCAATAGGATGGGCATAAACATCAGAAATAAAATGTCTGAAACTTACATCCCTAAAAATTTGTTCAGTGCAACTTAGGCCTAAGTCACCTTGTTTTGCCTTGCATCCCATACAAAAAAATTCAGAAGAATGGGCCAAAGTCCATTATGGGGTTAACAAAGCAGGAATGAATTGAAGCTGAAGTGCCAAAAAATATTGATTACAAAGATATTCACATCCACATTAAAATAACCAGAGCTCAGGTCTTTACTAAGTGTGAAAATCTAGAAATTCAAAAATAAAAAAATTCCAAATGTTTTTTGCGTTTTTCCCAAAACTCAAAATTGTGACTTAGGCCTGTTCTGTTCTCATCCGTCAATTTGGAAAATGTTAATTGGAAGATTACACCGGTATTGAACTAGCTCTAGTTTTAATTGTTTCTCAAAAAATAAATTCTGACCAGGAAACAAAATGTCTCAAGTTCTTCAATAATTCCATTATGAACAATTATGCATAATATTTATATATAAATGATATTAAAATGATATAACGTCACCTTTGATGACTTTTGTTTTCCATTTGGATCAAGTCTAAAAGTTCCAACGTCAATTGTTTTCTTTGGGTCAACCTTGTTCACAATGTATTCAACTTCGTTGACAATGGCTTTACATGCTGCTCAAAAATAAAAGGTTTCAAAAATCAAATTGAGTGAGGAACCAGGTGAATTGATAATTCGTCTCAGTCAAATGTTCGATTAGGATAAGAATACTAAACAACAAAATTTGATTTATTTACCAGCCATGATGTATCATACCCGAATAGATACTGGGAAGATTTAAATTTGTTTCAAGAGTGAGTCATTTTTATCAAATTTGTACTGCCAATGCCAACATGTTAGGCGAAGAATATATTTTCAAACGAGGTTAATAAAACTTTTGCAGATAGCTGATAATAAAAAACTGACACGGCAGGCAGCAACGCCAGAAACAAAGTTCAGATTCTATTTGTTTACTGTATCTCATTATGTTTAATCTTGGAATCATTTATGTCAGTATGTAAAATGCTGTTGTTGTTTGCTTAATTGACCCGATGACAGTAAAAAGAGAGAATGTGAAAAAAGTTCAGAAAAATTGAGAGAAATTTCCCATATACAGAAATATTTAAAATTTTACCCTTTACCTTCTAGTGAATATTTATTATAGTCTACCAATGATTAAGCACAACCTGAGCATAATTGCTGATTTAAAATCCTTCAAAAACAAATGACCACATATAAAAAAAATTATTTTATAAAAAACATTCAGTTTTCAGATAATGTTAGACCTACCTCCACAGTAAAGATCCAAGTCTTTTTTTCCTGAAACTGCAATATACTGAATCAAAGATAAATGCAGAAATGAATATGTCCATCTAAGAATCATGGCTTGACGACAAAAAAGTTGCATAAAAACTTGTTATACTAAAAGTGTCAAACAAAACATTGAAATCGTTAAAGGAATGAATGAAACATAGGCAAAACAAATTGATGTCGTTATTTCAAAAACCCATTTTTGTACTTTAAATAAGGCTGGTCAAACTTTCAAAGGAATGAGATATTCAAAATAAAATGTTGCTTAAATTTAATAGCAATTAAACTAGGGTGGCTTACCCACTTTGCGGCCATGACCTATCTGCGACCATCAACTTCATCGATTAAATTAATGCCGAAAAAATTAACGAACCGTGACGATATTTCTCACGCGGTATCGTCCCCTTATCCCTCGTAGCTCTGCGAAATTACACTAAAATGCGGCCACAAATAAAAAAGTTACGACCGAAAACCTGACCGAAGAAAAAAAAAACGGACCATTTTACCATGTCGCAAACTACCCATTGTTCCTTCAAAAAAGCTTGAAAATCCATACAAATATAAGGGATAAAGAGATGAAACTTGGCAGGTGGGTAGAGTTGTGTTTCTTTTAACCATCTTTAAAGTTTCGCGTTACTACCTTCAAAGGAGGGGGAGTAGGGGGATGCGCATTTCCAATACGTCAATAATATCTTTGTCAACTAATTTGCAACCACCATGTTTTTGTCTGTTTGATTGCTGTGATGCGGTGCTTTGTTTATAACTTGAAGAATTTTGTTTGAAATAATCTTGTTCTTAAAATATATGACGGTCAGAAATGCAATTAGAAGCCCATTTTTTCACGCATGGCTGCGTATGCCCTAGTCTCGACGCAGCAGAAACGATGTTCAAGGCTTGAAATCCGTGATCGCACACTGGTCGTTCGATCGCAAATACGTCTTCAGAGTGTCGTACTTTGGTGGTTTGTATAGCTTTAACCCCTGGTCGTAGAAAGTTAATTCGAAGTTCAACGTGTAGAATAAATGCCAATGCACCTACGGTGAAAAAATTAACGGGTTCTGGTCAGAAATATTGGTTTTTGTTTTATAGTGGTTTGGATGAAATCGTCCGCAGACTGGCTACACCACCCTACTTATAACAAAATAGAAAATCAGCAATAATGCTCCCACAACAGCGAGGAGTGCGGCAATCCTCTTACACATAATTATCCCCACATTGGATTCACCCCCACAGCACAGCAGCAACGCCGCACACAGACACAGGGTAATCAGAGGTCAGGAAGTGCGATCTGGCAGTCGCGAGCGTATTCAGGTATTCCTAACGATTTGCCACACTACTGCACTAAATACAGAAATACATAAATAGGTCTAAACTGAAGTTAACGATATTTAAAATGTTACCGGTACCGGTCACCGACTGAAAGGTGAATTATTCACTGTTCACGTTTATAATTTTCGTGTCGAACCGAACCGCAGCACCCTTCCGCAGAATACCGACACGACCTAAGTCAGCATCCTGATCACGAACGCTACCGCCACTGCCAAGACGACACATCGCATGAATTGAACACGTTGGTAAGCTAGTAAATACAGAATTATCGGTAGTGGTGCGTCACTAATCAACACACAGTTCCGCATTTTCGTACGTAAAAGATAACCTTTCACCTCAACTAGTTTTGGACATCATGCATTTCGTGTTATCGATTATGCAATGCTTATGGATGTTTCTCCCCTTTTTTACGGATCAGAATGACAAGTATGAAATCCAGCCCAAATGCCTTCATACCCAGGCTATGCCAGAAATTCTCAACGAATTTTTTACTGAGGCTTCACCGCCGAATATTGATAAGGATGAAATAAGCGATTCCACAAAAATTTGTATGTCTGATTGCCAATACCTTTCTGCCACTAATTTAGATACCCTATGCAAGGATGACATGAACCCACTTATCACAATGTGTATCAATATGCGTTCCTTGGCCAACCCAAGCAATTTTTCCAAACTTGAAGCTCTCATAGTCTCAATGACAATTGCCCAGATTTAATAGCAGTCAATGAAACATGGCTAAAACCAAACAGCTAGGATCCATATGAACCTGGGTGGTATACTTTTTTATCAAATTCGCGTGACTTTGAAGGTGGGGTGTTGGCCTATACATCAAAAAAATATTACTTCAAGGCTAGACCTGACATTTCAATTATGAATGAGCGAATTTTTGAATCCATTTTGTAGACATTTATTTGAAAGATAGAATTGTGACGTGTGGAACAATTTACAGATCTCCCTTATCAGATAGTCAAAGCAATAATCAATTTATTAGTATTCTGGAATCGACACTCCAAACCTTATCGAAAAATTGTATTATCATGGGAGACCTCAATTATAATCTTCTGGAAACAAACAAGACTGTAGATGAATTTTGTGAGCTGATGAATTCGGCTTCATTTTACCCTGTGGTGTCAAAGCCAACTCGAATCACTCAAAGCAGCTCTACAATCATTGACCATATTTGGACAAATCTTTGATTGTAAACCCCGCAGTGCAATAATAGTGATCCTATTTCAGACCACTGCCAGTCCTGGTTTGCATTCCATTAAGAAAAAATTCGCAAGGCAGAAAACGAATACTTTAGGCAATATAATATCTCAAATTTAGATAATTTTAAACTCATGTTAGAACAAAGTGACTTTTCTGCTGTGTTCAGCAAAACAGATCCTGATATAGCCTTCAGAATTTTTAATGAGTATTTTTCTGAATCTTTTAAAACTTGCTAAGAAAAGAAATATTAAAAATATTAATAAATGGTTTGACAAGGAACTCTTAAAAATGCAGAAAAAAAGCATAAACTATACAAAAACTATCTTACTGAAAATCAGAACAGACCAAATAAAATATTCAGAATGCAAGAAAAAATATGAGAAATTGATAACTGCTGAAACAAAATTACTATAAGTCATTACTAGGTAGACATCGTAATGATCTTAAGAAACTTGGCGTACTATGAACGATCTGCTTGGGCGTTCTAAACCAAATCTAACAAAAGTATTTTCTATTAATGGCAGGAAACCTCGGATCCTGTCAAATAGCAGATCATTTTAACTCGCACTTTTCTACAATTGGAAATAAAATGATCGAACGGTTTCCATACTACAAGGGATGACTTTAAGCAATATATGGGGCATCCCAGTAAAACTCCATGTTTCTTGCCCCGACAACAGCTTTCGAAGTCCAAAATATCTGAAATCTTTTCGACCCAAAACCAGTTGTGGAATAGATGGAATTCCCTTTAAAGTAATTCGAATGATGCCCTGGAATTTGTATTTGTTATCACATATTTTAACTGCTCCTTACAATCTGGTAAATACATAGACCAGTTCAAATTATCCAAAGTTATGCCATTGTTCAAAAAAGGAAATGCAAAAATGTAAAACTACCGACATCAGCTTACTTCCCGCATTTCAAAATTCTGAAAAAATTATGTACAAAAGACTCAACATTTCCTAGACAAAAAAATTTCTTTTATTCCAGCAATTTGGTTTCTCAAAATCATCACATCTCATGCAACATCTCTGCTTGTCAGTAAAATTTAGAAGGATTTGATAAGAATGAGTATACTCTCAGTATGTTCTTGGACCTTTCCAAGGCATTTGATAGTATTGACCATGACATATTACTAGCCAAATTGCACCATATTGGTTAGAGGTCAGAGTTATAATTGGTTTAAAAGCTACTTATCAGGAAGGAAACAAGTAGTAATATACAATGATGTAGCATCAGCACATACTGTAATTTGACTGTAGGCACTTACAAGGTTCTATTTTGGCTCCATTATGTTTTTCAATCATTATTAACGACTTTCCAATTCTCTTCTTCACTCTGATATCATACTTTTGCTGATGACTCAACGCCATATCTTCAGGCAAAAACTTGCCTGAACTTTTGACCAAAGCAAATGGATTTGAAAATATTCAAGCTTGGTGTCTGCAAACAAACTCACAATTAATGTAGAGAAAACTAAATATATGGTATTTAGCGCGCCAAAGCAAAAGTGTCCAACATCACAACAAAATCTGGAATTAAATGGAATAAATATAGAAAGGGTTAACCAGACGCGATTTTTGGGCGTTATAATTGATGATAAATTGTGTTGGAAACAGCACACAAACCTGGTTCTATCGAAAACAAGGTCGTCTCTTGGTGCTATTACAAAAATAGCCAACAATTTGAATACATCTTGTTTAATAGAAAGCCATATTCGATATTGTGCCTCAACTGATGTTCATCGCCAAACGTCCATTATCAAAAAAATTCAAAGTGTATGCAACCGTTTTATTAGAATAGTTTTCTATAGGGGAAATCGAGAAAAAGTTGATGACTTATTTAAAGAATATAAGCTACTACGAGTTGAGGATTTAGCCAAATTTGAACTATGCAGCATAATGTTCACTTGCTACAATGGGCAACTTCCATCCAGCCTGAACAGATTGTTCAAAGCGAACCCAAATTCAAACAGCAGAAATAAAGAAAAAATTTTTATTCCATATGTTGCTAAAAGTATCTCACAAGAATCCATTGCAGTATGTGGACTAAAAGCTTGGAATTCCCTACCTAATAGCATCAAAAAATCGAAATCAAACTCAGAATTTCGTTCCAAACTTATGCAACATTTGTTATCGTCATATTAGCCGAACTCTCTGTTTTGAACATATTACTGTTTCGGAGCATATATTTTTTTTAAGGTGAATTGAAAAATGAGGGGACGATTATAGACCCTTTGGATTGAAACCACCATCGTGGAACTTCGAAGGCTACCGAACCACCACCCATCAGAGTGCGATTTCAACTCCACAGGCCACCTCAGCAGGATACAATATGAAACAATGGACTGAATTAATATTTAGATCACCGTTCTAATTCTATTGTCATGCGGAATTAGACAAAGACAAAAGAACAGCAAATTAGGTCTAGGATAGCATATTACATTACATTTACATCAAATTTAAATACAGCCATCAATAGAGTGAATGCTTTTTGTTAAAGTACCATGCTGGGACTTCTCTTCCTCTTATCGGTCATCGCACAAAATCAAATATGTTTTCCCCTTCCCTCACCCCAGGAAACTATACTATTCTCTTGTGATTTTAATTCAACTTGGGCACTCCATGACAGAGAAATAATGATTCTTTTTTTAAAGCATCAGCCTTAATTAAATTGTACTTTTATACCAGTGGTTCTCAACCGGGGGCCGGTGGCCCCCAAAGGGGGCCACGAAGCAGCTCAAGGGGGGCCACAACACGAGTTTAATAATTGATTATTAAGCGACTTCGTTTGCATACTTTCCCTTCAAATAAAATTCCCCGTTTGCCTCAGTTTCATTGTCTGAATAGGTTATTTCAGGTCACAGGGTAGCATATCCAAATTTGCACTGCCTTGAATGACCGAATAACAGCGTGATATGTAGGCCTCAAAACTTTTGCGCATGTTTACCTGAATTATCGACTTAATGAGGGCCATACTACCATCACATATAAAAACTTTTGCGGGAAATCGTTTGGTCAATTTGGAAACATCAGAACGGAATTGTGACAAAAAGTTCGAAATTTTTGCAATGTTGTGCCGATTCGTAACGAACGTTGCAACAGCAAATGGAGATTTGCCTTTTTGTGGATGGCGAGTAACTATTTGGTAAATGTAATATGGGCTTTGGGCACCAGACGGCAGTACCCGACCAGTAGCGTCAATATAAATTATGTCATTTTGAGCATTTTGGATGAATATTCTTACAGGATGTTCCGACCACAGCATAATAACTGGAGAAACTCGTGAAATTTGTTGCAAGGTTCCACGAATTAATTTATCGTTGCATTTTCTGGCCTGAAATTTTCTCAAACAGTCAAGCGAATTCCATCGATTATCGAAATCAGGGACATTTACCAATCTAGCCTCATATTGCGCCTTTTTTAAAAACCGCCTGTGGCGGAGCATCGCCCCTATTACCAGAATGAAAAACATCGGAGGGGAGTGCACCAATTTTTTTTTAAATACATATTGCGAGAAAGAGAATGAATAAGGTTTTTTTGCCATTTTTATCATAAATTGACTATCGGGCCATGTTTATGCGATAATAAAAATATCTTCCCTCATACAAACTTTTTCAAACTCGCTATATTACCACTTTATTATATGTACTACTACTGGTCTTTCGTAAATGTGAGGACGGTAATTGTAAGACACATATTTTTGGGGGCCAAAAGAGGTCTTTTTGCCATTTCTATCAAAAATTGACTATCGGGCCATGTTTAAGCATTTATAAAAATATCTTCCCCCCATACAAACTTTTCAAAACTAGCTGTATTAACACTTTAATATATGTACTACTACTGGTCTTTTGTAAATGCGGGACCGTAATTGCAAGACACTCATTTTTTGGAGCAAAAGAGGTCTTTTTACCATTTCTATCATTAATTGACTGGCTGGCCATGTTTTAAGCGATAATAAAAATATCTTCCCCCATACAAACTCGCTGTATAAACACATTTTTGTTATATGTACAACTGCTGGTCTTGTGTAAATGATGGGCCCATAATTGCAAGACACCCATTTTGGGGCAAAATAGGTCTTTTTGCCATTTCTATCAAAAATTGACTATCGAGCCATGTTTATGCGATAATAAAAATATCTTCCCCCCCGTACAAATTTTTTCAAACTCGCTGTATTACCACTTTATTATATGTACTACTACTGGTCTTTCGTAAATGTGGGGACAGTAATTGTAAGACACCTATTTTGGGGGGCAAAATAGGTCTTTTTGCCATTACTATCAAAAATTGACTATCGGGCCATGTTTAAGCCATTATAAAAATATCTTCCCCCCATACAAACTTTTTCAAACTCGCTATATTAACACTTTATTATATGTAATACTACTGTTTTTTTGTAAGTGTGGGGACCGTAATCGCAAGACACTCATTTTTTGGGGCAAAATAGATCTTTTTGCCATTTCTATCAAAAATTGACTATCGGGTCATGTTTAGGCGATTATAAAATATCTTCCCCCCATACAAACTTTTTCAAACTTGCTGTATTAACACTTTCTTATGTGTACTACTACGGGTCGTTTGTAAATTTGGGGACGGTAATTGTATGACACCTATGTTTTAGAGCAAAATAGGTCTTTTTGCCATTTCTATCAAAAATTGACTATCGGAACATGTTTAAGCCATTATAAAAATATCTTCCACCCATACAAACTTTTTCAAACTCGCTGTATTAACACTTTATTATATGTACTACTACTGGTCTTTTGTAAATGTAGGGACCGTAATTGCAAGACACTCATTTTTTGAAGCAAAAGAGGTCTTTTTGTCATTTCTATCATAAATTGACTATCGGGCCATGTTTATGCGATAATAAAAATATCTTCCCCCCATACAAACTTTTTCAAACTCGCTGTATTACCACTTTATTATATGTACTACTGCTGGTCTTGTGTAAAATGGGGGCCCGTAATTTCAAGACACCTATTTTATGGGGCAAAATAGGTATTTTTACCAATTTTATTAAAAATTGACGACTGGGCCAGGTTTAAACGGTAATAAATATCTCTTCCACCTATTCAATCTTCGTCAAACTCGTTGTGTTTACTTCCTATTATAAGTACTTATACTTATCTTTCTTATACTAAGCGGATATATTTGTAAGACACTCATATTTGGGGTAGAACTATGATTTTATGGCAATAATTCACAGTTTTCATGATTAATCTGGCAACACATAAAGCATCAGCTGATTTTGCATCGATGCCTTTTTCGTAAACTCTCGCTCGATTGAAATCTGAGTTCTGGCAACCGTGATCGGCGCTTTCAAAAACGAGAGAGATGTCTGCTAGGGTATTTGGTGACTGAAACCGGTGTCATCTTGCCACAATTTCTGTGAGGCCATCATCCATTTATCTTAGCAGGAAGGGGTCTACGGTACCGGTACTCTACGATTGCAGGATTGTCAATAAACAGTCACTGTAGTATGTTGAACGTTACCACCATGCCAGACTCTTCATTGTCACAAAGTCAGGATGATGGAACAAGAACTGGAGTCAATATACTTCTCGTCATAATGTATGGACTTTTGGTAAGTAGCTTATAGGCTATCAGTATATTGAATTTCAAATTTTCTTTCAGTCACAGTTCTTCATCAGGGGTTACGACTGAGCATATATCAGATATTCATGAAAAATATTGTTCTAAATCAAGTTAAAGCAATGCAGGAATCATCCTTTATACCAGGAGTAGTCTATGCGTGCTAAAACATGATTTCTCATGGCAGCATGGCACGCCAAGCTATTCGAGGCAGATTGTGACAAACATTCTCATTTGAACAAAAAAAACAAATCAAAAAATTCATTGAAAAACATGCAATATTTAACTGCAATCGACAAGCGGCCATATGAGAGTTATTATACAATCATCGGCGCGAGATGCTACACTTTTAAACAAGCGCTTAATCGCGGCGACTGTTTCATAATGGAATGGAAATTTTAGATTTTGACCCCCCCTATCGAAAATGCACGCCTGGCTGATTTTCATCATTTAACTGTGAGCTACATGTAGCCCTAAGAAAAAAATGAAATGAAGGTGCTCTCGTAGTATGTGTACCAGGTTAGGGCATAATTTTATTCCAATTTTCCTCATTTTAGTTCTACTGCGAGTTTGGGGACTAGCCAAATGACTCCCGTAGTATTTACCGTACACATGGAATTATGGCCTAAACCTAACCTGGTACATACACTACGTTTTGGTGTCCGGCATCTAGGTGCACATACTACGGGAGCACCGAAATAAATTTTATCTTCAGTATTGTCACGATTTCATTGTTTCCGGCTACAAAACTAATCGCGAGTGCCTTCATACCTATTACTTAAGTCGTGCAAAGACAGGTCGGATGTAGAAATGCTGTATGCAGAAATCCCTTGTAAGCTAGTTTTCATGCACGTTATCCATTAAAATAAATTTGTTTCTCATCCGCTTACTATTAAAATCAGGTAGTTGGCTACGCAGACCGTACACTTAAAAATGTTTGGCACGTGGAGGTGCTCATTATTCATAAACTGGCACGCTGAATTAAAAAGGTTGCCGACCCCTACTTTATACTCTCATAAGCTGGTTCAGAAACAATGCTTTTTTTTTTTAGATATTTTTCTTGGTGGCAATTTTTGTTCAGAGGTTTTTACGGAGAATCGCTCCAAAATTTTCTAAAGGATACACGGATGTTGGAAAATTCGCTCCGAAGGTAAAAACAATATCGGACAGCTAAAAAAAGCGAATAAGAACTTTGTGAAAATGGAGTCCATGTATTGCGTTATTACCGGTTATGTAGTCGAAACAAATTTACCACACTAATTTACAATTACTCCGAAAAGTGGGTGCTTAGCCTACATGCAGACTTTAATTAACATAAACACTTCGATCCTAAGAAACGAATTTTCGCTGCAATAATCCTAATCAAGTTTTTTTGGCCATAACCATTTGACTCTCTTTGCTTGAATACTGTTAGGTAAGTGCGATTGGACTATTTTACTTTTCTCAACTAATTTAAAAATCGAATAATATTGTAACTTTTCCTCGTTCTATAAGATATTCAGCGTGAGAACTAAGAGTTCATGACTGACTCACTAGAAACTGTATTGAATGTTGACATAAATAAAAAGTCATTAATGGCAAATTTTCAATGTTATTTATATAGACATTAAAGGAAGATATTAACGAGCGATTGATGCAAACTCTTCATGTTGTTCATGAACCGAGATTGTTATCAGATGGTGATGAGAGAAATTTGTGTATGAATTTGGAGAATAAGGCAGATGATGACGATGAAATTCCATACAATTATCTTTATCGTATGAAAGCATTGGATGATATCAAAATACTAGGTATATGGCATTATTTTTATTTCAAGTATAATGTCAAACTCATTTATTGTCAAAGAAGATACCTCTTTTATTTTCAATGGTTCATATTCATAACTTGAGCCCTTTCTGATAGTGCTCAGTGAGTATCTACAAGGTGGTACAGCAAAAATTGCTAGTGGTGGAAATTTTTCTGCCATCGGCATCATCTCCTTTTTTCCATCTTACTGCAAGCATTTCGTATATATTGGCAGAACTACATCATCTGTTCTCTTTTCTTGAATCTATGTTTTATTTATTTCTAAATCATTAGTTAATGTGGTAAAGTAATAATTCTGACATTTATAATTGATACAATTTTCAGAGAGAGCTCTTTGTCGCACTGATGAAAGTTTAAAGCGCCATCCATTAAAAAATTTCAAACAACATATGAGAGATATTAAATCACATAGCAGTGGTGTGATGAGAACAGTAAGAAGTAGTCAAATAAAAGCTTTGACGGATGCATATGAGCATGCACGTTATAAACCTGAGGTAGAAATCTTCAATTTAATATTAGTAATATTTGAAGTCGTTACTGATTACGTTTTTCATTCATAATAAATAATCTATGAGAGCTCGTTTCAATGATGGTTAATAATGGGCCCATAAAGTAAATATATTTATTCAACTCATTTTCAGCCATTTGGAAAGCAAGAATATGAAAAATTCAGAGGTGTTTTAGATGATATTATTTCAGGGTATGTAACAATCTTGAATATTACACAACTATTCTGATAGTTCTCAGTACCTGATACATTTAACATGACAATTTTGTTTCCTAAGTAGAATTGAACACAAAGTTAAAAAGAAAAAGACAAAAAAGCTGCAGAAAAATATTAATAATTCAAGTATTGAAGGACCTCCAGCACACAAGCATGAAAGAGAGCAAGTTGAAACCCATTCAGAAAATGAACCTCTGATAGATAGTAATCCTAACAAGAAGAATCAATAAATGAACATGATTTTATATATTTTGTAATAAATATGCAAAGCACTTTTATATCGATTGCATGTGTTGTTGATGTACATGTTTAGACTTCTCTAACACAGCTTAATCAGGAATTTAGCATCCTAGAGCATCTGTGTCAATTTTGTGAGAGTCTACAGAAATATGGTTGATGCAACAAGCATTCAAAGTTACAGTTGCTTCTTCTAGTTCAGCACCTCCACTTTGTACGTCTTTTGTACACATATCCTGGGGTTATTATGCAAGGAACTCCTATCCATGTGCTGGTCGATCCGAAAAACGAAAAGCTGCTTATTTTACATTATATATATCACGTTTGCATGCTAATAACTCAAATGTAACATTTTGCCTGACCAAAGTCTTGACGTGTACACAGCTTCTAGGTTGGTTGGGCATATATGTAATATGTACCTCTAAATTCAATTCCTCCCATAATAATAAGATGGGTAGTAATGATCTGACAGGAGAGTTTGGAAATCTCACGAAATACTACAGGTTGACAGAAAGAGACTTACTTCCTCGGTATTAAAAATAAATTGAATAAAATTATCGTTGTGTAGGAGTCGACAAATCAGGACTAAAAAACCATTGCATGCAGCTGATAAGCAACCCCTTATACTGGGCCCGATCACAAACATATGCCACAATCTCTTTTTATTGTATCACAATCTTGCAACATCAGTTCGGAAGACTCTCCAAAATGTAACATATTGAACAGAATATCGGTACTTGAAAAACAACAGTTCATAACAACTTAAAACCAAACTTGATAATAATATTCATGCAATAAATTGTAAGGAGCAAAACCATGACTTGATATGTTAGCACAATGAGAAGCTTTGAGTAACTCACAACACTGTTTTCATCTATTTTCAAAACCCCGAAGTGTGAGTCTAATGTGTTTTAAATTTAGTGTAAACGAGTATTTTTATCTATACCATTCAGTTATAAGTGCCAAAAACTTTTTGAATTCAAAAACCATGTCACATACCCCTCATTCGGGCAATTTTAACTTTTTTTCACTATTTTTTTGGTCTTTTTGTTTTCATAATAAAATAAATTTTCAGGAAAAAGCAATACCACGAGTGACAGGTAAAATAAGGTAATAATATAAAGTATAACATGGTGTGGCACCCAACACTAGAACGGCATATATAAAAGTTGTAGCGAGCACTATAAATTGTTGACAGTTGACACAATACATTTACATTATGTACATTGATAAAGAACTGAAAAAAAGAGGTTGGAAAACCAAACAATATAGCATCAATAAAACAAGGACACCTTAATAAAACAAGCAAATACAAATTAATCTTGATGTGACCATTTGTACTCCACAGACAAATTTTGCCACAGTCTCTGGATATACCATACCAATTCATTCGATAACCAAGGCAGCAAGCGGTCATATTTACAACATTGGTGAGGGAGCCCAGATAATTCTCGATATTGCTGATATGCCAAACACAACAACTTTATATTCCAAAATATAGCACAAAACATCGCTCAACAACAGAATCAGAATATGTTTGCTTTATGCAATATTCAACAACACGGTTTCATGTATTCTATCATCAGCATTAAACTAATGTTTCAAATAGCGGAGTATAGATTTTTACTAATCAGATCATCATTGTGGAATGATTTTGACATATTGTACACTCATTGAATATGGGTGCCCCTGTTGAAATAGTAGCAGGAGTCGCAGTTCCCACCCATGAACTATATCTTATTTAAAACTCAAAGCAGACTTCCAACAAATTCAACAACAACTCTGCAATTTAACCAAAAAGCAAGGAGTTAGATATATATATATATACACCAAAGCAATTTCTCTATCTACTGTTGATACACACACCAGCCACCTATGCCACCACTCTCTGAACAGAATATAATATTGTCAGAACACTGTGACAAGAACAAAAGTACAGTTGAAATACATAGCGCATCATACACAATTAAATGGAATATGGGGAACATTCTGGTGAAGTTATTGAAAGCAAAACAGAATTGTTCAGAAACTCTTTGAAAGTTAATGCTGTGAATCTTCAAGCATATCATTATTTGTTCATTCAGGTTTGTAATAAACTTGTATTGGTCTTTGAAAACCTGAAATGAGAAAAATAGTAATTGCAACAAGCCGATAGATGTATTATGATTCTCCCCGGGATAAATATGTAAATCCAATCCTAACACAGACTCACCCTACGTTGTATTAAAGTTGAATAGTGGCCAGAAAAAGAATAAATATCATGCAGTTCAAATTTGGTTCTATGCTCGCTTGAAGGACCCATTCATAAATGTTTTCAGCACCGGTTTAAATTTAAAGAAATATATATATGAATAAAATGGAAAATATTTCTGTATTAATGGATGCGTATTTTTCTGAAGTATTGCAAATCCATAAAGCATGAAACAAATATTTAATTGAAAAATAATTGGTTAAACATCAAAGTGCAGTTTCAGTATAAAAGCATATAAATCTTACCAGCATTCTTGTTTCGAGCTTGCAAATTGAGATGATCTACTTTTTCAAATCCAATTTCTTTAAGCAGCAAGTTTGGAAATGATTCTGGAAACAGCTTGATTGACTTGAAATTTTCATTTAGCTTCTCCTGATAAATTTAAATAATTTGATAGAATCGAAAAATAACACACACAAAACAACCATCGCTGTACATAGTGTATCGTACACAAGTCATTCCTGAATATAACTAGTACTGTGATGGTGATTACTTTGATGATGTATTAAAACTCAAATCAAGTCTTTTGTAATCTGTTGGCCCATTAGTTCAAACCCCATACCTACCTCTACTCTGAGATGGAGGCAACAATGATCCACTCAAAAATACTATAGATATCTTATGTATAGTCTTGTTCAAAATGACATGATAGAAAAAAAAACAGTGGGATAATATTAAACAATATAAGAAACTCCGGAAAATGTCATAGGAAATATTCAAAGCATGTGGTTAAGTATAATTCAGGGGAGAACAGGTACAAAAATGATATCAGGGTCATTTGAAATAAAATATTTGAATTTATTCGTGCAATTATGGATAAGGGTCAAACAAGTACTACATTTTAGATGAACAACATTAGTTATAAAGAAATATAAAACACCACCAACCGATAGTTTTCTTTTGCTTTTATAAGAGTTCCATTGTTGTGGTTCCAGAATAAACATTCCTCCCGCACGAAGTTGCTTGAAAACTCTACAAAAAGTGCAAAACTCATAAATCCTAAACAAGCTAACAAAAACATTCACAGGCAGTGTAAATTGCTATATTTTGGATACAAAACAAATCAAATGGATAACTAGATTTGAAATAACAATCAATCAAACCAATAGTTATCATAACATCTCAGTGTATTATTATTTTTATAAACCTGCATCGATTTGCATATGAATTCTGATGATTGATAAATTAATCTATATCCACTTTTCATCAGAGTATACAGAATGGCAAATATTTTATTATTGTTTGTATTAGAGTGTCATTTTTTTTTTATCTATTTCTATTACCTTAGTTGACATAATACACTTAACATTCTTATATTAAGTTAAACATGGTTCAAAGTTATTTATAGAATCAATAAAAATACAGCAAGACTCCTAAATCACTTTCACTAACAGGGATGTAAATTAATATGAAAAAAATGTATCTGTAAAAAATGTCACTTAATTAAAAATGTGTTACTGTAGAAGAAAAATTACATTAAATTGACTAATACTATAAAATTATAAGATAAAGCATGCAAACCCATAACTACTCAATTAAAATAACACACAAACAGGACAATTATGTTATTGAAGAGGAAAATGTTCACACTTATTTTCATTGTATAAAAGAAATTGTCAAATATATAACATTAGAAGTCCAAAATACCTTTTAAACATTCGAATTAATCCTTCATCTCCCCAATTTAAATGTACCCACTTGGAAACACTCATGCACATGACAACATCATATTCGGGTTCTTGAAAACGAAGAAATTCATCTTTTTGTGGGATATAATTTCCCTGGAAAAATAAATTCTTTTCAGATCCAGTCCGTTGGGCAAATGTTACTTTGTAAATTTCCCTTATAGACCCCACCTCACCAAGTTAACAGAGACAACACCATGATTTATAACCGTTGTAAATATTCAGCACGCATTATGCAATACTAGAATCTTGTTTGCGGGCATTGCGTAGGTCAGAAAGGAAAAGACAAAAAAATCATTGAATTTGATCATATTTTATTGCCTATTATTCACCTTTGATTCACTGTAAAAGTCTTGAATCTTTCAAATTTCTGATTGATGAATCAATGCCATATTATACTTATCATCTAAGAACTTCATATAAAAGAATTTGACTTAAATGAATGTAAAAAAAATTCAACTTACTTGAAAAAAATTAATATTGTTTGGAAAAGCAGCCGTTGTTTCATCTTTACCAGTTTCAATAGGTGGACACGCTAGTGGACCAAAACTAATAGCCATAGATGAAGGAAACTTTGTGGAGCTGGAAAGAAATGTGATATATGTTATTATTGGTATTTGACATTCAATATTTATGGGCGTGTTTTTAATTCAATAAAGCAAGGCAGTTTGTGAAAAATAGTATAATGCAAATGAATTACCACTCACTTGTTCAACCTAATAGTAACAACAATGACTCAATTCATGAATGAATGACTGCGAATCTATTTTAAGATGAAAAATATCTTATGTATCGAAACACTCCCTTCCATCAAAATTATTACATTCATAGAGTATTCTAAATCAGCCATTTCCAACCCAAATGTCATCTGGGACTGCAAAGTATATTTCAGTTATGACACAAGCTGCACATTAAATAACACGTCACACACCATGAACTAGTTTTAATTTTGTCAAATATGTTGTTGTGAAGAATGAATACAGTGATACCTCGATAGTCGACAATAATTCGTTCGGGATTGGTGTTCTACTACCCATGTTTCGTTGTGATATGGGTGATTGTCATGCTATAATTGTATTGTTATGTCATAATGTATTTGTAAACAACACGTTGGTAGAGATATTTTTGTGTACAACTCAGTAACGAGTACCTCAAATCGGTAGTTACTTGAAGATTATTGAGTTCAAGTTGAATATATTGCGCAGCTTTTCAAACTGGGATGTGGAATGAACAAATGAAAATTTTGAATATAAAGTGTGGACTGTTTGTTTCAAATTAAATTGGAATGGATAAAATGTCATTCATGTTCAAATGGCATTGGGATCATGGTTGATAGCTAAACATTTTATGTTAGTTTAGTTCAAATCTATATTTCTAACTCTCTCTATTTGCTTACAAAAATCAGAAAGTTTTAATCAATCGTATCCTATCAATTGCTGCCTGTGTTATTAATAAATGCCAACATGAATGAATGAATATCCTCAACCCCATATATATATGCTCATCTAAACGCTTATGGAGATGGAAATACAAACCTCTTTCGGGCACTCGCATAATGTCGAATGTTATTTCTTGCTGTTCTTATCAGACTGTCATCAATATCGATCCCAACAATTTTTCGAGGCTCATAATCACGAGCAATCAGAAGAGTCAGATGGCCAGCATTACAACCGATATCCAGGACATCTTTATCTAAACACCAAAAATGCAAATTATTTTATGGTAGAGGTTATCTAAAACAAAATAGGTAACATAATACAAAAAAATCAAGCTCCTATGTTAATTTAAGAAATGCCGAATGCATAAATACAATTTTTTTTTTACTAGCTAATATTGTACTTGCTTGAAGTAGTCATTTTAATAATAGTTGAACAGTTGAGATAGGATTCAGGATTCAGTACAGGGAGTAAAAAAAGAAAAACAGATGAGGGATAATACAGTTTGGTTCACTACTAATATACTTCAGCTGTGTTATTAGTGGTTATTTTACTGCCACTTTTAATAATATCGAGTCAAGCAAAGTTCATGCAACACAATTACCATGGAATCTCATTATTAAAAATTTGATGACAAACCCGTTCTTCATTAATACCAAACTAACAGAACCCAAATCATTTCTCACCTTTGAACCAGTCCTTTTTCAAATTTTCCATTCTGATGTCCTTGAACTTCTCTGGATTTCTATACCCATAATACTTGTTGTAGTTTCCATATTGGAAATGTGCAGTTTGCGGTCTCTTGCTTGGCTTTTTATTATTACTTTGACTTGACATTCCCTCGTTGTTGTGAGTTTTATGGTTGGTGAAATTTTGATTTGGCTCATAATTGCTTTGTTTTTTACTTGTGATGTTTGAAGTTTGAATTGCAGTCTGGTCCTTTTCCTGTTCATATCTAATTTCTTTGTTCATGTAGTTCTGAGCTGGACTTTTACCAGCATTTGCTTCCTCTTCAGCTAACCTTCCACATATCGGTTTCACCAACAAAGCTTTGAAGTCTTTTGTGAAGTCTTTCTTGACTGGACTGTGATGGAAACTTCTTATCCTGACTCCTTTTCCATCATCATCATTCCAATATAATGCAGGTATAAAATTCTCACTGACAGTTCTTCTTCTTTTTGGTGGGGAAAAAATATTTCTGTCTGGAATTTTTTCACTTCCGCATCTTAGATGTTCTTCTAATATAACAGAGGAGTCCGTTTGCATTCCAGCATCACTTGTAGACGGCTTCCCGAAACCAGATCTGCGCTGTCTTCTATTTTTATGACTGATGGTCGATCGAAAGCGACGTGTGTCTTGTGGAACAACAGGGGACACAATTGGGTCTCTAATATGAGCCTGTAAGGTGAAATCAAAAAAAGAAATAGGAAATATTATATGATTGGAGTAATTTTGATTGCAAATCAAATATTATAGTCAATTTATCTCTTAACTCTAATTATTGATCTTAATATATTTACTGTTATCTAAACAATGATGTAAATTGCATAAAATCATAATTATGATAGGCCTACTCAATAACTGTATAACAACTACCGGTATATAAATATTTCGTATACTGTGAGTGTGCATCACACTTGATCTCAAAGAAAATAATAATTTTGACATTACGTTTATTAGAGTTGCATCAAAATAAATGAGTGCTGTTATTTATTACTGAGAACACAACAGAATTATGTATCTGGGCCATCATCTGACAAATATCTATGCAAAAAATTTATACAAATTTTTGAAAAATATATAACTTTGATAAGTTTATACCTGTGTTGCAGGCAAATTCAGAGTATTAACTTCGGGTGGAGAATGTTGTTTTTTCTTAATTCGTCCATCCGTCTTTTTTGAAGTTTCCTCTTTGATATATGTAGTTAGATCAGTAGGCGGCGTTTTGCCTCCTATATCTTTCTGATCATCACTATTCGATGTTGCGTCTGAATTTTGTCGGTGTTCTTGCTGCTTTGTTGCATGACTTTTGCGGCGGCGCTTTTTCTTGCCTTTTTGTTTGGATATTTCTCCAGGAACAATAGTTGCTGTTCCAAAGCTGGTAACATTGAGTCCTAAAGGATCTGTAACATCAGTTGGCATCACAATATCAACTGTTGAATTTCTTGGAGGAAGTGGCGAAGAGGCAGGTGTAACAGCATTGAGAGCACGGCAGACATTTTCATCCATCATTGAATTGAGATTTAAAGGATCTGCTATATTACCACCCAACAAGAACTTATTAGGAAGGATGATTCTTCCACCGGCGTTCAATTGCCTTTTGTGATGATTATGATGATTGCAATTTCCTCTGCGACGTTTCCCGTTTTGATGATTGCAGCTGCTACCTATAAAGTTAAAGATATCTTTTTTAAACATGTATCCTCATTATCTCAAGTCTATCAGTTTTCTATCACTGAGCAAAGAAATAGTCAATTCTGCATATTCTGCTACAGATCCAAAGTACCACTAATACAATTTGAAAGATAGTCCTGTTGTCTGTCTATTTCAAATCACTGAGATATAAGAAATGTTACATAAAAAACAACAAAGCTTATACAAATACTTAAGTAGGGGTGGGCAAAATCAAATAGCTTTTTCGAATCAAACAATTCGAATATTTTTTTTTCGAATAACGAATATTTTTAATACACAATAGGAATCCAGAACGTCAGAGGTCCATACTCCCTTCTAAAATTAAATAATGTAAACATTGCAAATTCAATGACAACGTTGATTTTATACTGGTTAATTTTGACATAACCGCTGATTATTTTTATCCCGTTTGATTTAACGACCGAAAACGTAAATTTGATAAGATATATTCCAGCCATTTCTCTTTTTAGTATTAATTCTTTTTATATTTTGAATATTTATACGTTGTATATAATATTTATACGTGTGTTCATATTGATGACAGATTGAGGTGTTATTTCAGGACCTGATTAATTTTATTATGATCATTCGTGTCGGCTTTGACCTCCCTATCACTGTGCGTGATTGCCACCAGGTAAACTCATGTTGATAATAAATGAAGCACAACCGGTGTTAGCACAAAACGATGTAATTTGCCGACGTTTCGAATTTCTATACAGAAAAACTTCATCAGGGCATGATATCGAAAGGACACACTGTTTGTAAATTAACTGTCCTAGTTTTAAGATAACAATGTTATCATTATCGACACCGGATTGCAGATATTTATGAGGACGATAATTGACTGATGTATGCTTTTCTATGATGTCTGTCTTATTTTTGTATCAAATAGATAACTCTGCAAAGCTGTGATACTAGAATCCTGAATGTTGCTTTGATTTAAAATAGTAAATAATAGGGATTTCTATGTGGTCATTGGGCGAGATGAAGTTATTACCGGTAAGTGCTTTTGTGTCTATTGAGGGTTAAGAGCTAATTATAACTAACTAACCTCAAATTTTAATAACTCTTCTTTTGCAACAAATACAATACCCCAATCATTATTACAGCTAAAATCGTTACCAAGAAATTCACAATTTTATTTACGAAATTTGAAAATTCAACAATTAACTAGCCTATTTCGATTAGGTCACGCCCTAAATATTACTGCACAAAAGCTTCAAAATGTAGAAATAATGTATCATTTACGATGATGATAGGCTGGGCGCAACAAGTCGTAAACGAGCCAATGGGCATTGTTACAAGAATATTCAAGATTCATTACATCGTCTCCTATTGTTTACAATTTTACCACCATGCATGGCCAAGTGAATGTTTACATTTTCAAAACATTACTTTGTAAGGGAGGAATAGATCACTGAAAATACATGCCAAGCTAATAGAAAGTCAATTTAGAGGGATATGGCCTTATCTAGGCTAGAAGTGATGCTTTTTAAAAATCTGAGTTGCCATTTTCAAATTGATGCTATTTATATAACTCACATCTTCTGATGACCTAAATTTCCTTTTCCGACATGCATGGTCTCTTGAGAATGTCATTTTAACATTTTATTAGCAAAATAAACGATTGAAAATGATACAATTGCGAAAAAAAAAAGCAAAAAACATCTCAACGCAAAGATATTGAATTTGTGATTATACAAATTTGTCGTTTCTGTCTGTTTGTGAAAGCCGTGGGTAAATTCTCGTACAATTCCAGGCCATCGATTTTGCAACATGAGAGTTCCTTGTCCCAAGCAAAGTGATGGTACACATGGTACATGAATAGTAAAGTGCCATTCGAACATCATAATATAAGATTTGCTATTTGAATACTTTGACCAGTCCTATACACACTTATGAAATATTTTTATTTCTTTATCTGATTGATATAAGCATGTTTATAAAAATTGTCTTACCCATATTAGAATGTTCATTAAAACTGTTCCTTCTCTTGCGTCTTCTTGCTCTACCTCTATTTCCCGCCTGATGAATTTGATTAACATTTTCCTCACTTTCAACAAATTCAGGGGCACTTGAAAAATTTATGCCATTGTCATTTTTCAGAAAGTCTTGTTCATTTGTGATAATGGTATCAGTATTGGACAATTGTAAAATGCACCTTCCTTCTGATGAAGGAGATAATGTTTGCACAGTTGCCATTGCTAATTGAAATGATCAGTCGTTTTATGAAGTTCTGTTATACCAGTATACAGAGTATTTTTGGATGCAGATCTAGAATATATTCTGATTAGGATGAGATGCACTAGTCAATAGTGTCTCTAAGTTCGCACAGTAAAGACAAATTTATGTTATTTGTCTAAAATGATGGTCTTTATTTTTGCAGACTGTAAATTCATTAATGAAGTTTGTGATACAAAATGATTCATGATGCATGTAATTGAAAGATAATGGATAGAAGCTAGAACCTGTAAAAAAACAATATTGAGCACTTTTATTTTTTGCTAGTTTGTTCTTAGTTCCCCGGAATTTCCCAGATGTGCATAGTCAAATAGGCCTATTAAATAATATTGAATTATATGCAACCCTTCCATGTTTTCAAACAATAAAATACCAAAAATGAATAAGAGCTGGATCATTTCAAATGGACTAACTAAAAAACATTTATGATTTTTATGGATCCTCCCTGGCTTTGTTCTTCATAGAATGACCATAGGCCTATATCTAAATTTATTAGACAGATATTTGATGAAAGTGAATGAAAATAAAAATAACAAGATTAATTTTTGATTAATTGAACTAGCAAACAGACATATAATTGAACTGTTTTCCACACATAATTTCTTATCAACTTAATAATTCCAATTTTTGCTATGTGATAGGTCAATGATGTGCCAAGCATTAAACTAACCTAAGCACCATTAACACATGTGAATCATTGCGAGGCAATATTCCTTGATTTGGCCATTGTTTACGTGATATTGCAATCGCATGATTGACGGCGCAATCGGCCAAACAGATGTGTGAAGTAAATCTCGTTCCAGTGTGGTCGTGACCAGGGCCACGCCCCTCCAATTCCTCTCTCGAAAATGTAAGCGCCTGATTACAGTTACAAATCGCCTATCTGATCTGTATTATGAAAAAAAAAACTTATATAGAGAGCCCGAAGCGTATACTCACAATTTTGGAACCGCTTGTGCAGATAAACCTCTCCATTGATACAACATTAATTAAACGAACGAAAACACTCCCTCAACTGCTAACGCTGACACAACCGAACGCACCCAGGCAACCCGCCGTAATGAGATGTTGAAGTCGTACATGCGTTTTTAACCGATGTATCACGTGACTACATTCAGTCGAGCGAACGTAATCTCTACGTTTTGACGCGGCGACGTTTCCTTGACGTTTCAAAACCGATTTTAACTTTTTATTGGACACAAAATGGGCCAATGGATCGTTTTGTTATTATGATGTTGTTGGTAGTGTTCTTTTTTATGTTGTCCTAAATTTTCAGTGAGTTGAAGATTGTCGTTGTCGCTAAAACACTATTACTTTTATTTATTTTATTTGAGTGAGCGAACACGTAATACTTCTTTTATCAATAACTTCCCACCTAAAATCTGTACGCTTTAAACCTTACTTGAGTTTTCGTTTGCTTTCCCGATTTTATAATCAGTTTTATTTATTTAGTTTTTATCAATTATTTTATCGTCTATTGCTGATTATGGAGTCGGAATAAACTTATACTTACTTATATTTCTAAATGTACCGGTATTGTTAAATTACGGGGGTTGGGTGTAGTGTATTTTCATAGCGATCGACGGATAGGATTTACATACCGTGTTTCCCCGAAAATAAGACAGTGTCTTATTTCATTTTTTTTTGAAAAATAACACTAGGGCTTATTTTCGGGGGATATCGTTAATTTTCATTTATCAAAAACAAAATTTCAAAGTAGAAAATTACTATTTTTTTATTTCGTCAAAAAGCATAACATGTCGGTATAAGAAGGCAATGGTAACCTAAAATTTGCGCTTTCGCGTTAGCAAACTCATCCACCATCTTCGTCATATCAATTTGGGTCGAGCGTTCAGATTCAATACTCAGCAGCGCCAGTTCACAGAGCCTTTCCTGCGACATCGCGCTCCTGAGATAATTTTTTATTAATTTCTGTTTCGAAAACGAACTCTCGGCAGTTGAGGTAGTTACGGGCAACGTTAGAATGATCACCAAGGCTGTACAAATATCAGAAAAAACTCAAATCTTTTCTCTTTGTTTGTTTTGTGTAATATGATACGAAAAAACCCCATTTTTCCGCTATGTATTCTTCGGGAAAGGCCCTCGGGGTCGACACGGGCCTGCGTCTATTATAATTTTTTTGATTTGTGCGTTGATTTCAACGCCAATGAAGTTTCCCATGTCCGATGGATACTGGCATTGTGTCAGCTTCGTTAGCGAATCGTCATCTAAGAATTAAGTTTTGGTCGTTTTTACACCAAATTATGCAACTTTTTCAATTTGCTTCAAAAATCAGTAGCTTACCTGTGATAATTGTCGTGTAAGTTTTGGAAGAAAATTCATTCGCGCCGGCGCCATCACTTTGATCACTGAAAATTTCAAGGCAATTGATACTGTTATTAAACGACCCCAAAACGCTCCAAAGTTGCAAAATTTTGTTTATTAGCATCGAACCCTTTTCATCAGTAGCGCTTGCAGCAGCTTGCTCCAAAGCTGCGTTGGTGGGTGTCAATATTTTATTCAATATATCTTCATCATATTTATGCATTAAAAACGCTAAAATTGGCAATGGTATGTAATATCTATCAAACCTATACATTTAAACTTATGTACGGCATTTTTCGATTTTCTGTAATCTTCTTGTCATAAGTGTAACGTCATTATACCCTTTAGTAGCAGTTCAATACCTTGTTAAGGATACATACCGGTATATCCAGAGGCTCTTGTTGTACTCGTAAGACGTAAAAGATCTAACTAAAGTCTATAAAAAGGGTGAGACAAGTGATTTGGATATTGTTCTCGGTGACATCATAAAAAGTATTAATTTTGTTCAGTCCCATATTCCAAGAAGCACAGAATATTTTCAGAAATTAGCAAAGACATTAAAGCAAATGATTTGAGGCTTACGCCGAAGTGCGCTGGTTATCGAGAGGAAAAATTTTGAAATGAGTTTTCTCGATTGCGATCTGTCTGTTTTCCTAACCCAAATTAGACATTCGATGGCCGTTAGTTTTCAAGATATCTTTTGATCAGCAATATTTGAAATCACAATTCAGCTGTGTTTTATTTTTAAAACTAATAGCAAGATTCCGACTCATAAAATGAAATTGAAGTTGTAGCAATTATATTATTTGTCTTTTAAAAAAACAATTAACAATAAAGTTGATAATCTTCGTCATCGTATAAAATATATATATCGAGGATTCGGAATAATAACAAAACGGGGTCTGTGACGAAACGTGTAGATATAGACAGAGTTGATGAATCGTAATATTTTGTGAGAAAGCAATAGATCCTCTGAGAAATGGTGAGAATATTTCGAAATATAAATATTTATTTTGTCAATTTCAGCTCGGTGTTAAAATATTGTAGATTTCTCTGTTAATTCAAAAGTAAAATAATACAAAAGTTTGAAATAGAAAAACCATGTAATGAGTCTCAACTTTTGTGTGATTACTTATGAAGTTATGATTTTTGATATATTGAGTGATTATACATGTTTACCAATGAAAACGTTTGTTATTTTCTTTGCGGAGCAGAATGCTTCTCAAAATTGATGAGTGCATTTTTTGTTATAGGAAGTTGATATGGGTTTGTTTCTAAAGACAGTGCCGGAGTTCTACGTGTCAGCAACAAATCCAAAACAAAATTAATCATGAGGTCATCAAATATCTACTCAATGAAAAACAAACACTTCAGTAGGGTTGTGCCGGAAGTTTGCAAAAATTGCCTCTATCAAACTCGAAATCAGAAATCAATCAATGCCAAGTTCTAAAACTTGCACAATTTAACACCTGCGACAGTGCTTAAAATAAATTCCAAAAAAAAAAATTATTAGTCTTGCTTGGTTTATAAATGAAAATATACTTTTTCTTGGTACCAAACGTAGTTCTATGAAGAACATTTACAGGTGAATAGTTTAAAAATATTCTCGACGTTTTGTACAAAGGAAATTTGAATGGAGGAGGGCATGTTTCACATGTTTTCTTATTTTAAGGTCCAATTATTTTGTTGTCTAAATACGACGATACTTATGTAACAATGTTTTATTCGGACGATGTGAATCGAAACAATTTCTCGACTTTTAGACTTTAGAAATTTGCTAGAATCATGGAACGATTTCGCGATTGATCGGAAGGGAAAAGTGTGATTCCTCGTCGGACGAGACGCCAACGGACAATCAATACCCCATTTTTAAGATCTTAACGACATAAACAAATTATATAACATACTCATATAACTTTGTATTTTATTCAACCAAACAGTAATTTAGGCAGAAAATGTCGAAATAACAAAATTTCCGGTAGACCGGCAGTAATCTGCGGTTGAGAATCACTGTTTTCTACGACACGGCAAGTCAAAGTTATTGCAAAAAATCTAAAAGACATTAGTAAGGTCCGGTTCAATCGAACAATGGGTGTTTTTGTTCCGTACTATGCTTCTTTTCTTGGGTTAAAAATAGATACAGTTCTCGGGTGATGTTTTAATTTAGTTTTAAAGATAATGTGAAGCATGTAAAAAAAAATTTCACATTCATTCTATGTGACATTGTGCAATAACGTATTCCAGTGCTGTTTAATCCACATCCTCGCCGATTCGTTATCTGTGGCCCGCGTCACATTCGGAGAGTAATAAAAAAAAATGCATTCCGTGTTGTTTTGTAATAAAATTAATCAGAAAATCTTTTGACATATTGTTACATCACTAATGTCATTAAACTGACTAGTGTTATGGCTAGCTGAGGTAACTAGCAAAGTTGAGTGATGCGCTTGGCAGTCTAAATTATTATCTGGCTTTCTATCTTTTTGGCCGGGAATATATGCTTACGATATAGGCATCATAGAAAACTAAAAATAGAATGTAGAATCTATTAGCCTGGGATGTCTATGTCTGATAGCTATGTGTTTGCACAATAAAAGCATTCGTTTCGTATTGCACTGTTTACCTATTCTTGGCACTATTGTGGCCCGCGAACAATGCAAAAATGATTTTGTGACCCGCGGAGCCGACAACCTTGGACCACCCTGAATTAGAGTATACACGGTGATCTACAATATATTTTTAATGAGATAAATACCGCGAACATGATCGCTTCACGCAAAAAATAATTTCAACCTCAGTTCTCTAACTTATTTTTAAAAACAATCTGAATCAGATTAAAAAGCTTAATATAACGGAAATATCGGTCTACATTTAGCCGATACCTATACACTACCGATACCAAAAATTTGGCTGATATTTCCCATACCCGATACCGATACAACCGTACATCTCTCGTCAATTGTACATATAACAAGCATATTGACGTGCTGCAGCTCAACTTCGAAGCTATTTTACGGTTGTTGAATATCAGAATCTTGGTTCTCCAATATGGCCCGTCCAGCCATTCGCAAGTGCAGAGGTTGCTAATGCCCACCTCACTGGCGAACTGCTTGAATTACGATCAGATCCGGTACAAAATGCAGAGTACAAAACGAATAAAAACTACAACGAATTTGGGCAGCACTACTAGAAGTTCCCAAGTATCGCAATCAATTGCACAAAACGCTTTCACCGTTTTCGTACGAATGTCATACATTTATAAACAAATGTTTTCTGCAATCATTGAAATTTAACCCCCAAAAAAATTCAATCAAGGTAGTCGATACACTAATGAGAGGGGCACTGGAAACAAGATTATAATCTCGCTCTGTACAACTAGATGATGTATTCCAAGAACAACGTTCACATTAACTAAATGATGAACTATTACGTCGACATAAACATATATATATATAACTTCTAAACATTATTTACGTATTAAAAATGTAGGATGGGCGGGGTGTACCAGATTTTAAGAAAGGATGAAAAGGATGTACCACTCCAAAAAAGGTTGACGAGCACTGGTCTATTCAGATCAATCTTCCCTAATATTTACTACTAGTTGCATTGTCGACCAGCAAAACATTTTCCTATTTCATGTATTTACCCAAACTTCTGAACTTGTATCATCAAGCTCTCGACCAGTCTGTTATTCAAATCATTC